TATTAAGCCTCATGCTATGGCAGAAGGTATGTTACAGTGTTATAGAAGTATATATTTGAGGTTATAAAGCTTTTATGACACCTGACACAATAATTTTTAAATGGTAAAATATTCCAGCATGAATTATTCAGTGTTGTGCCTTTGAGTTTTAAGTAATGCCCCGAGTAAGAACTAGGGAAGCAAACGGCACAGGAATGCAAGAAGGTGCTAATTGCGCATTGTATAATCCATCCATCCCATTGGTTAAAACATGAAAATCTGCTATAATTTCACAAGTTATCGAATTTTCTAATATTATATTTAATGTTGTTTTTCGCTTTCATGAAAGCTTTCTTTAGCTTCAATATTATAAGGCAATTCTATGTGGGGAACATTGCAAATTAGAAGCATCTTTTAGCTATTGTTTTGAGTGCTTATGATTGGATAAGAGCTTTTAATACAAAAGAAACTTTGTTTCAAAATAGAGTTTATCCACATTTTATTTCAAAAATGTGTTACCCACAAATGGATACATAATCAGTGTGAAAACCAAGACATTCGTACATGGGGAACTTGCTATGCCGCACAACAATAGAGAGCTCCCTAGTTCTTACATGCATTGTTACTTAAAGGTTTAATCTTCCAATATGCTAATGAAAATGACGTCAAAGAAGGCTTCATTAGATACGAACTTTGTAACAGTCGCTCAAAAATGTTTTCATGAACGCCATCTGGTAATATGGTTATTCCCATTGCATCGATAAATTTAATGACATGAAACCATTTTTAAGTGACTCCTTCAAAGTTCGTATATCTAATGAAGCCTTCTTTGACGTAATTTTCATTAGCATTATTGTAAGATTGAACCTTCATAACTCAAAGACAAAAAAATATGCAGAAATATTTTCACTATTCAATTATTTACTTTATATAGAATCAGGTCACAGTGAATCAGAAATGTTTGTGCCAGGCATCATGTAGGCACTTTAATTACAAAGACTTTATTATTTATTATTAACTCAAGCTAGCAAGCTAGCAAGTTCAACATCAACATTGACTCCTTGGTACTGATAAGCTGTCTCATAAGGATACTGTCCCTGGTGACATTTTAGAATCCACTTTCCTCACCTGTTACACTGTAGCCTGTCAGTGGATATTCATGCATTTTGGTTCCAGTAAATGTTAGGTGACCTGCTCATTATTTTTTTTATCAAAACTTGATAATGCTGTAGGTTTGACTGGAAAGATTGTCACTGCAATTCAGGACCAAGGACTTGAAATTTCAGCCCTTCAAATGGTAAGCTACAGTATCCTTGGGGACTCAGCCTGGGTGATTTTCCA